ATACACCCTAGAAGAGTACCCCGGTCCAGGTGACCATGTCTTACCAGACGGGTTAGCTATCTGGACCACCGCTGTCTTATCAATTGCCGACCAGTTACAGACTGTTCGCTCGACAACGATGTGGCGGAATGCTTGAGGTGTATCATCAGATGATTCAAGATCGTCGGCCGTGATAATTCGTGGCTCGACGACTGCCGGAGTGATCTCCTTTGGGGCGTGGCTATCACGACATCAACGGCCATTTCATGTTTCGGAGGAATGCAGTACTTCCTACAAAGATATACTGGCACGGCTCCTTGGGACGGGTCAAGTGTCACCACAGAAATTTGTGCTGATGCACTGTCATGTTGATATTTTTGATCCCGTGGTCGACGGTGGGTCCCGGTTATTTTCAGCACAGAATTCTTGAAGGATAATTCTTCACCACACCAGTCTAAAATTGCGCCAAAGGCGTTCATGATGCTGTTATCTAGCAACATGTCATCTGGACCCAGGTTCGGTAAAACCAATGCTTCTACTGGTAACGTGATATCACCTAGTGTGAGATTGAACCGTAGGTATCCTAAAATTTCAAGAGGTGACCCGTCAGCACTTTTTTATTGTATCGCTCCAGGTGGTACTGGACAAAGCTCTTTTTTTTTTATTGTGGGGTGCTCTTGCAAAAATTTCGCTGACACACAAGGTACATCAGCCGCTGTGTCGATTGTGATTTCAGACACAGGGTTATTGTTCACTCGAGCTGGAATATGTACCCGTTTCGAGGTGGAATTCAATGCAGTTGGAAATTTCGGATATTTACTCGACGCAGATGCGTGAAAAGCTGCAAATCGTGAACCACAACGCAACGCACGCGAAAACCCACATGGGTTAAATTTTTTATTCCAAGGCTCTCCAGACGGAACATGTCGTACTTGCGGTGCCACTGCTAAGGGTCTGATACTCGTAAATTTCCCTTTTCGGCGTTGCCCTGCACTACTGAAAAATAGTCCCTTGCGTGGTGCCTTGCTAGGTGTTTCTGCTACCAGAGGAGAACCTAACGATTCTACAACCTCCTTACGTGTAACAGAATTAATCCTATCAAAAACTCGGCCTGAAGTTCTATCCGCTTCTCGTGCCCGATGCAAAATGCAATCCCTCGTTTTTTCACCCTTCATGGCAACACTAGTTGAGCAAAGTAGGGCATCTCGCGCTACCTCATTTTTCTCAACTTGTGTTGCATCGGTGGTTTTGTTCCCTCCGGGCGAGGGGTCTCTTGAAGGGCCCCATCATCCCGTCAGAGGCCGGCTTTCCCATCCATCCTTCCCCTCTTTCTGGCGAAGGTGACAATAATCAGTGTCGTGGGTGTCGGGGGCGGGGCACCCGGGGTAGTCACAATGCCTTTTGGGCTTTGTCCTTGGTTTTTCCGTTTGCGCGGACCCCGAGTACGAAGAGGTGCGCCTTGGTTGCTTTGTACTGGCGCGTTGAGGCGGTCCCCGGGGTTGACTGCTTGTGGTGGCGGCACGCGACTTGAGGTGATTTGACCTCAGCAGCCAACTCCTGGAGTTCGGAGGTGTGAGCCTCCACCGTGGACCGCAGCTGTGGCGGGGCAGTGTGTGAGACAGCGGAAGCGTAGGCAGTATCGGGGGTTGTGGGGGAAAGGCCTTTTAGATTGTTTGCCTCTTTGCACGGTAACGAGCTTCTTGAAAACTCATATAATAGTTGCGTCTTCTCGAACAGTCTCCACTCTGATTTTGGGGATTGAGCCGTTTTCCAATGTTGCAGTGGTAAATACATCCCATGCGTGTTCGTGTGGGGTAATATTCGGTGGGGCGGATCGAGTAGCTTCTGCAATAAGGCGCGCGCGTGCTTGTGTGACTCTCAATGCGTAGGTATCCACGGACTGATCCACTGCGTGTTCCAACGTGGCAAATCGTCGGGCCAAAATGGAAATGCGGTTGGGAGCAGATAACTGAAAGTAAAGAGCGTGACAGTAGTCGGCCCAGGAGGAAGGAGCCACCGGCCGAGTGCTTGCACCTGTTGCACGAAGATCAGCCATCCGCTCTGCGTTACGCCACTCGAGCGTTCCCTGGGTCAACTGCAACAGGGTGTCAAACGCAGCCCCTCGCAGAAGAAGCGGGAGGTATCGCACAGCACGTTGGTTGATTTCATGGTCCGGGCAGCTGTCGACTGAGTTCAGTTTCACACGCGCACGGTATTGCGCCAAAAGTTCTACTATCTTGCCCAGGTGCCCCTGAGAAAACAAGATCTTTGGGTAGGTCTGCGAGTTTTGAAACGAAACGAGCAGACATACCCGCGGTGTGCGCTGACGGGTGTTCATCAGTGCGAACAGTAGAGAGTGTAGGTGAGGCATTCGGCATCACGAGAGGGTCGCTAGTCCTGATGGTATTGTCGATTTCTCGTGGGGTCTCGACGGATTGNCGCTGACGGGTGTTCATCAGTGCGAACAGTAGAGAGTGTAGGTGAGGCATTCGGCATCACGAGAGGGTCGCTAGTCCTGCTGGTGTTGTCGATTTCTCGTGGGGTCTACGGATTGAGGAGAACAATCGTTTACTAACTGTCGCGACGGGATGGGTGATTGCTGTTGAGCAAAATTAGATGGTATGCTGTTGTCACGCCGGAGGTTCAGGCGGGCACTACCCTCACTGCTAAAGTTGGGGTCGTGTCGGACAGCAGTCATGCTACCACCTACAGCATTCACCTTTCGCGAGCTGGCGTGCAGCACAATAGACACGAGCCATTCCGGAGGGTCGGTCCCATCGCGGTGGTGCTGTTTCAGCATCTCCACGATGGATGCACCAGCCGGAGATGAAAGGACCTCGGGCTCCTCCTCGGGTTCGTCCTCGTCTGCCCAACCCTCCTGCTGCTCCCGGCCGGCGGCAGGGGGGACGTCCTCATCATCGTCTCCACCCTCGCCGCCGAAGAAGTTGTCGCGCTCGCCCGAATCATCGCCACCGTCACCACCCTCGTTGTTGATAGCGCGGTCAGCACCCTCGGGGTCATCCGACGTTTCCTCCGGAGGACTGCTACCACCCGAGGGGCGCGAAGCAGGCACGCGTTCCGAGGGTGTCCCACGTGCCAGCGGGGTTTTCGGGTGCTTAGCGGCAGGGCGTTGCTGTAGCTGCCCTAACTCGACTTCCAACTCAAGGCGTCGTTGCTGCTCCTCGAGCCGCCTGCTCTCCGCCTCTTCCGCCTTCTCGCGAGCGCGTTGCACGGCTGATTTCTTTTTCGCCGTCTCTCACCTCTACCTCTAGTACCAACAGAGAATCTTTTAAGTCGTCGACGCCAATAAGGACACAGGCTTTTNGGCGCGAAGCAGGCACGCGTTCCGAGGGTGTCCCACGTGCCAGCGGGGTTTTCGGGTGCTTAGCGGCAGGGCGTTGCTGTAGCTGCCCTAACTCGACTTCCAACTCAAGGCGTCGTTGCTGCTCCTCGAGCCGCCTGCTCTCCGCCTCTTCCGCCTTCTCGCGAGCGCGTTGCACGGCTGATTTCTTTTTCGCCGTCTCTCACCTCTACCTCTAGTACCAACAGAGAATCTTTTAAGTCGTCGACGCCAATAAGGACACAGGCTTTTCTCGTTGGGGGGAGGCCCAGGTCGCAGTAGTCTTTACCCACTACTAAGGGCTGGCAGTTCTCTTCGTTGAGATTTAGAGAGTAGAGGGTCTCAGAAGAGAGACAAAAGAGAGAGAGTGTTCCGCCGAAGGGGCGAGGGCGAGGGAGACCAAGCCCGAGGGTCTCGGATTCCCAAGCTCCACAGGTGGGGCTAAGAGGGACGCATCCATGGTTGGGTCTCTTGCTGGTCAACCATCAGTAAGGTACTCCGTTCGGATCGTATCTTGGTCCTACTTTTGTATGTGCATCAACCATGGTTACAGCACTCCTACACCTGTCATCCACAATTGGGGCTATATGTTTATCCGGTGCAGGGATCGCGCGGCGATTCTTGCCTAACGGATAACACTCATCGCACTATTATCCCCGACGCTATTCTGTAGATATGTAGCGAGGGACCCGTTGTGTTCTTGTATGGATCGAGGACCCCGTCCTGTCGGCGAGTGACGCTAGAACCGCAAGAGCGCCCTACGAGTGTAAGGGTCGTGGAGGTTCAGAAGGGGTTCAAATAGTGATGATTTTCAGGCCGACTTCAAAAGTCTGTATCCCAATCGCAATCTCAGCCGCGCAGTCGTGAGTAAAAGCAAACTCTTCTCGTGTTACAGCTTGAAGGAAAGCACCGCGGAGGGAAATACAGACCAACAATACAAGCAGATCAGTTTGTTTAACTGCCTCCGGTGTGCCCCTGGCTTGTGCGTGAAATGTACCAGTTGTACCGAAAGGCGTAGACTGGCGCCACAACAGAGTAGACGGGAGGAAACCAAACAACAACCACACGATGCCTTCGGTCCCAGCCGACGAGACTTAACTTTGTGATAAACACTCCGGTGAGTCCCTACTTGAGTGTGTGCAGCTTCTGCATTACCAGCAGAGGATACAGTCGATACAACCTCATCTATGACGCGAAGAACTTTCTTTCGCGACGAGTTAGAGGGTTCTTCGATCATGAAACATTTTTTTCGCTCATGATGTGCAATTTCGGCAAGCCGATTTTTGCGCGAGCCCGCGCGTGGCAGCATGTTGTGCACTCACCACCACAGGCCGAGTGGGCTCAGAGTGTCGGTGGGGTGGAGCGTTGGAAATTGGCATGCTCACTTCACCCTACCAAAGGATAGCTACCACGTTTCAACCCATCACCGACGCAAAACGCGTAAGGTACCCTCGGCCTCCAAGTGGGGCACACTTCATCGCAATATTTAGCAAGTTTTCGAGGGAAGTGAGGTTGTCGTGGTGATGGTCGATCACACGCAACGAACAGATGGGTCTCGGGTTGTAAACCCACACGCAAGGCGCCCCATTCGCCACTCGTCCACAATAGGACAATCCACGTGTACGTACGCCAAGCAACAACAGCAGCGTGGTAGTAGATCTCCCTCTGTCCTGCTGCTACGATGCTTCCGACACCCGTCTTGTGGTGAAAGTCGAATGCACGGAACAACAACATTATCAGGTTCTAAGATGTACTCGCTACTATGCACTTTTCACTTCTTTGTTGCTGTACGTTTGGTCACTCCCGGTAGATTTGGTCCCATGATCTAGAGCCAGAAGGTTTAACGAGTTTTCCCACTGAACCTCGTCGCAACATAGCCGCTGTCATGCAACCGAGCGCCGTACGATTTGCATCACGGAAGTCAGACCACAGGAATTGAAGCCACTGTGACTCGCGTCTTTTGTTTTGTCCCCTTCTCTCCCTCTCGTCGCAGGTTTCTTCCTTTTTGCCCTCGCGCAATCCAACGCAGCCCCTCGGAGCAGGTGCCTTCCATGGATTTTTTCCGTCGTGCATTCCAGAGCAGCTCCTCGGAGAAGATGTCTTCCATAGATCGTGCCGCACTGATTGCGTTGTTTCGTTCGACTGATGGAGCAAATTGGAAATGGAAAAGCAACTGGAACACGGACGCGGGGCTAGCTACTTGGGAGGGGGTCAGCCTTAACCACGCGGGACGTGTTGTGGAGCTGTCCCTGCCGAACAACAACCTCCACGGTATTGCAATGTCTAGTCCGCGTTGTGAATTCGCTCTTACTGTGCCATCTGCTTGGTGTCGGCATCGACTTGTCATTGGGTGATATTCCCTAAGTTGATTGATGCGAATTGACGCCCTTTGCTCCCGTGTTTAGCTAGCATTAGGGTCCACGAGCGTCCATGAGCTTCTAAGCGTTACTTTCGGGACGATACCAACCTCACAATTCCCGAATATATGATAAGGTGAAACACGGCTTGATTTAAAGCAACGCTTTGTAGCGTCATTCATCTGTACCCCTAGAACCGGAACCGATACCGTTAAAGATACTGGCCCCATCTCTTCTGAGCGGGTAAACATTTGTGGCATGAAACATAGGCTATCCAGTGGGACGACCGTCAGAAGATCGGCGGGTTATATCGCGAGAGACGTTTGAGAGATCGGGATGTTCGACCTAACAGTCAGTGCGATATGCTGATCGCGTTCGTCCCGAACCGAATCGACCTGGATTCTGAGGGAAACAATAATAGGCGTTTTCTCATAGCTGGTGTTGGCTTCTGGGAACCAGTTTGGCTAGGTTGTCGAGCACCTCCGTTCAGTACACACAAGGCGTGGGCGACACATGATGTCCTGCGTTACATTTGCAAGTTGACCAGGCAATGCGACTCCTTGTGCTTTTGTCTCGTGCAGGGTCCATTCCCGAGGCGCTTGGAGCCCTCAGCGAGCTGAAGTATCTTGACATGAGCAAAAACAAGCTTACTGGTGAGATAGGATGGCGTGCGAAGATTGATTCCTTTCGTGTCTCGCCCCTCGGTAGGTCGGACCGATGTTCAACCAGCCGGCCGCATCATACCTTGTCACCACGCCGCGCCCACCAGCGGCGAACTACAATAACGAGATCACCATTTGGCTCTTTCGATTTTTGCAGGGTCCATCCCGAGAGAGCTTGGAGGTCTCGGCAAGTTGGAAAAGCTCTGGCTCAGCGGCAACGAACTTACCGGTAAGGGAGAGTTAACCTCCGTGTTGTGCGGGAGCACTGCCGACTACGACGCCCTATTTGGCGACCCTCTCTGCGTCCTCGAGTCGCTCGNTAGGTCGGACCGATGTTCAACCAGCCGGCCGCATCATACCTTGTCACCACACCTCGCCCACCAGCGGCGAACTACAATGACGAGATCACCATTTGGCTCTTTCGATTTTTGCAGGGTCCATCCCGAGAGAGCTTGGAGGTCTCGGCAAGTTGGAACAGCTCTGCCTCAACGGCAACGCACNCTCAGTTGGATTGGTGCATGTCACGGAGCCTTGGCTCAGGTTTGCAGTTGGTTTGTTGCATGCGAATCGTGGTGTCGCCTGCACGACGCGCGACGTGGTTGTATGTATGTACGCGACATGTCAGATGGCCCGTAACGACGTGGGGACTACACGTGACACGCCCCCAAACATGAAGGCAACCTATCGGTGGCTCCTCGTTTCACGTGTTGGGGTGTCATCACCGCTATACGTTGCCCTTCACAGCCGCTTCACGATACATCATGCTTGCAACCCAGGGCGTGCTACCTCTTAGAGGTGGTCGTTTCATTTTCCTTTCGCCCTTCCTCGGAACCCATCGACTATCCATCGGAAAGAGAGGCCACAGGAGGCTGNCAGTACACACAAGGCGTGGGCGACACATGATGTCCTGCGTTACATTTGCAAGTTGACCAGGCAATGCGGCTCATTGTGCTTTTGTCTCGTGCAGGGTCCATTCACGAGGCGCTCGGAGCTCTCAGCGAGCTGCAGAAGCTTGACATGCACGACAACAAGCTCACTGGTGAGATAGGATGGCGTGCGAAGATTGATTCCTTTCGTGTCTCGCCCACGCGGTAGGTCGGGCGGATGGTGTTTACCAGCTGGCCGCAACGTTCACGTGTCACAGTCGGTCGCTCCGGTGGCCTGTTGTTAACCTTGAAACCGCTAGTGGCAAAGTCGTGAGTTCGAATCCCCATGGGGCGAAAGAAGTACAACGTTGAGGGTGAACGCAAAGAACAAACTGAAAAGCCGTCGTGAGTACCAAACTTCGACGTTAGGAGCGTGGACGAGGGAAAGGGACGGCTGGACCGTTCTCGCGATAATAAACAAAATGCAGCCTGCACCGCAGGAGGAAGTTGGGGCACGAAAATAAACATACGAAGAAGAGGCAAGCCCCGGTGTTTATCCCCTCCTGTGTGACCCTCGATGGTTGTAGTTGTACAAAGAACCAAAATCCACACTGAAAATTGAGCAGACGTCTCACGACGAACAATGGGGGGACTGACGCCATATTGAATACAATCAGGACGAAAACACAACGCACACACTGCACCCACATCCACAGCTGCTAACTTCCGAGTTCACCATTTGGCTCTTTTGTTTTGAGCAGGGCCCATCCCGGGAGAGCTTGGAGCTTGCGGCAAGCTGGAATATCTTTCGCTTTACGGCAACCAACTCTCAGGTGAGGCAGAATGCAACTCAGCGTGACGTGGGAACAGTGCCGACTACGACGCCCTATTTGGCGACCCTCTCTGCGTCTTCGAGTCGCTCAGTTGGATTGGTGCATGTCACGGAGCCTTGGCTCAGGTTTGCAGTTGGTTTGTTGAATGGGACTCGTGGTGTCGCCTGCACGACGCGCGACGTGGTTGTATGTATGTACGCGATATATCAGATGGCCCGTAACGACGTGGGGACTACACGTGACACTCCCCTAAATATGAAGGCAACCTATCGGTGGCTCCTCGTTTCATGTGTTGGGGTGTCATCACTCTCATTGTGCTTTTGTCTTGTGCAGGGTCCATTCCCGAGGCGCTCGGAGCTCTCAGCGAGCTGCAGAAGCTTGACATGCACGACAACAAGCTCACTGGTGAGATAGGATGGCGTGCGAAGATTGATTCCTTTCGTGTCTCGCCCACGCGGTAGGTCGGGCGGATGGTGTTTACCAGCTGGCCGCAACGTTCACGTGTCACAGTCGGTCGCTCCGGTGGCCTGTTGTTAACCTTGAAACCGCTAGTGGCAAAGTCGTGAGTTCGAATCCCCATGGGGCGAAAGAAGTACAACGTTGAGGGTGAACGCAAAGAACAAACTGAAAAGCCGTCGTGAGTACCAAACTTCGACGTTAGGAGCGTGGACGAGGGAAAGGGACGGCTGGACCGTTCTCGCGATAATAAACAAAATGCAGCCTGCACCGCAGGAGGAAGTTGGGGCACGAAAATAAACATACGAAGAAGAGGCAAGCCCCGGTGTTTATCCCCTCCTGTGTGACCCTCGATGGTTGTAGTTGTACAAAGAACCAAAATCCACACTGAAAATTGAGCAGACGTCTCACGACGAACAATGGGGGGACTGACGCCATATTGAATACAATCAGGACGAAAACACAACGCACACACTGCACCCACATCCACAGCTGCTAACTTCCGAGTTCACCATTTGGCTCTTTTGTTTTGAGCAGGGCCCATCCCGGGAGAGCTTGGAGCTTGCGGCAAGCTGGAATATCTTTCGCTTTACGGCAACCAACTCTCAGGTGAGGCAGAATGCAACTCAGCGTGACGTGGGAACAGTGCCGACTACGACGCCCTATTTGGCGACCCTCTCTGCGTCTTCGAGTCGCTCAGTTGGATTGGTGCATGTCACGGAGCCTTGGCTCAGGTTTGCAGTTGGTTTGTTGCATGGGACTCGTGGTGTCGCCTGCACGACGCGCGACGTGGTTGTATGTATGTACGCGACATGTCAGATGGCCCGTAACGACGTGGGGACTACACGTGACACTCCCCCAAATATGAAGGCAACCTATCGGTGGCTCCTCGTTTCATGTGTTGG